TCAATGTGTTTTCACAGCTGGATTGTGAAATTAAAGATGATATTTTTTTACCTACAGGACACTTTACAAAATCCTACAGTGCAAAATTTCTTAAGTGAACAATTTGGTGGTGAAGGTCTAACTGTGGAAGATGTTATCAATTTTTTCTATAATGGACCCCCAGAGAAAAGAAAGGATGGTATGAGGAACTTTGATTGGAGGAATATCTTCAGTATGGCCAATCAGACTTTCCATATGGCTTACCAATACCTGGAGGTAAACTTTACTTTAAAAAATAAAAAAAAGTGAAATAGAGAGTTTTTCTATGATTTATTTTCCTCAGAGCCTTTATCTGATTGCAGAATGCATGACAAGTAGCTTTTGACCAGACTCTCTTCTTAAAGTAAATTGCAACTATTAGTTCTGTTACTAGTTACTGCTGTTCCTGAACAGTAACTAGTAACAGAACTAATAGTTGCAATTTACTTTAAGAAGAGAGTCTGGTCAAAAGCTACTTGTCATGCATTCTGCAATCAGATAAGTATAGACTAGCCCTCTCTTATCCAGGCACACAGATGTATAGATTTCAGTTGCCAGAATTCCCATTAATGACTCATTCTGGCTGGAGAATTCTGGAAATTGAAGTCCACTAATGTGGAAAATGTTCAGACTGGGGCAAATTATCTTAGATTGGTGTTTCTCAAATTTTAAGATGTGTTGACTTCAGCTCCCCAAACTCCCCAGTCAGCATGCAATAGAGGATTATATTAATGCCAATATCTTTAATTATTAATTATTTTAGAGCAGACTGCCTTCATCACGAAAACAATGGTTACAATTGAATAATTAATTTAAAAATGAATATTGAAGCAGCGGTTACCATTTTTCAAGCATTATGCACTACTTTAATCAAATTCAGGTTGCAGTGGGTTTTTTCCCCCTGCCATATGTGGGGTGTTTTGTTTTGTTTTTTTGAAAAGATTGTTCCAGGTTTCAAGACCATGTATAAAAAACAATTTAAATCTCCCACACACAAGTGGAAGTAAAGGAGAACACACAAGGAGAAATAAAGAGTTCAGATGACCTCATTACAAATACATCTTGTCTAGGAGCATAGTTTAGATTTTAAAAATATGATGCCTGTGTCATATGAGTGGAAAGACTCAGGAAACTGTGAACTAAATCTTAATTCCAGAATGACTGGTTACCCTGAGAATATCCTCTCATAACATTTTGGAACAGTGTCATCTTATACTTCAGTTGAAGAGGTACAAAATGTGATGAAGGAATCACAATAGTGTTTCGGATAAATATTTACATTTGGCTGTGCTTGGATTTGCGGAGTGATGTTATGTATTTGGCAAAAGGATAGCACAAACATGAACCTCTCGTCTTAGGGCAGGATGATTGCTCATTGAAACAATGGGTCAATTACTTCCCTGGGGCTTGAAAGAGCGGTTGGACAAGCATCAGTGATGACTCGGTATCTTTTGAACTGGGGGCTCTAGGTGAGGCAGACTTCAGATGTCTAATTAGAGAAAAGTGAGCAGTTGTTTGTAAATGGTCAGTCTGGTAATGCTAACACTTGCATTTTGTATTATTTTATCGAATGTCTCAACTGTAATACTTAACACATTGTGGCAATGCATTGCATTGAGCCACTGCCTTTTAATACATACACAGCACATATGCTGTAAACATTATGAAATTCTGTGCTGTTGAGGAAAAATAAAATTCAGATCTTTGCATTTTTGAGGTAGACACCTGCAATAATACATATTAGTCATTTAATTTGAATCTGGCTTTTCCCCAAGTGTATATAGAGTGAGTGCTTGAGAGTACTGAATTGATTTCACAGGTTTTTCAAGGGGGAGGCATATTAGCATTAAATATGGGGAATGCGTGGAGTAAGAAAAAAAACAACAATGTAGGTTACCTTGATAATAAAATACTAAAGTTTCTGGTTTCACTATCAAGATTAGGACTTTCCCTGCTTTATACCTTTTATATCTTGCTTAGAAAACTTACCTGGAGGATATTTTCTCTTCAGAACAAACCAGCTTAGGGGTACATGCTCCCCCCTTCCTAAAACAAACCTTCAAGGAATTAAGATAAGCAACCTTTCTCCTTAATTTTCTGGTCTAGACTACTAAATGCAAAAAGAAAAAGCATTGTTTGGTGACAACAATCATGTAATTGTTAAAGTTTGACCTTTAGTTCTAATAATTAAATGTCTTCAGGTACCTTCAAGACTATCTTCCACATAAGGTTCAGAAGGTAAACATAGATGGGTTTGGGAATACTGCCTTGCTAAGGAATGCTAGAATTGTAAGCTAGACTGGAAATCTTAAAAAAAAAAAAAAAATCCCAGAAGATGACAATGGGAGAAATCACTTCTATACATCTGAGAAAACTGCACAGTTGTATCTATGAAGCCAACAGAAAAAGCAAGATCAACTTGAGAGCATCTTTACTTTTCTTACAGATAGCATACTCTTAATTTAAATACATTTCTCTTACTGCATCCATGACAAAAATCATACCATTCTTACCTGACATGCTATTTTAAATGCCAGAGTTTATTTTGGTATATCATCAGCAACCTGATACTCTTGCAGACCTCCCCTCTTTTCTCTTTTACTAGAATAGATAACTGTTCTTCAGATGACAAGGCTAAACAATGGAGACTTTACATTTCAGAGAAATCTGGCTCTTAAATAACAAGTTGCCTGTGAGGACTTTGATGTACATAATTATTAGTTGTTGGCCTGCAAGAGACCATCAAGCTGATAAGATCAAACAAACTAGCTTTGGGGCATTCAGTGAAGTGAAGTAATTAAATACATTTCTTCCCAGTCAGTTTAGAAACAAAATGTCATCTCCTTACAATAGTTGCCAACATTGAGAATCTGATAATCATTCCTTCATTTTGGACTAGGAAGCACAAAGATACATACAGATATTTGGTGACTTCATCATTTCCCCAGTTCCTTCCTCTGGCACTTACCTTTTCTCTATACCAAAATAGTAAAGCATTGGAATTTGGTTAAATATTATGTCACTCCTGAAGTCTGATGCCCTAACTTTAAGCAAAGTATAGTGCTTGTGTGTGTCAGGAGACAGATGCTGACAGAAGACTTTGGCCAGGTCTGATAGCAAGGTCGAAGAAGCAGATAAGAGTTAAAAGATGGGATCAAAGCAACTTCTGATAAAGTAGTCTTGACTTATGACCACAATTGGGTCCAACATTTCCACTGTTAAGCAGGACAGTCATTAAGTGAGTTTTGCCCCATTTTACAACCTTCTTGCCACAGTTAAATGAATCAGTGCAGTTACTAAGTTAGTAACACAGTTGTTAAGTGAATTTGGCTTCCCCATTGACTTTGCTTGTCAGAAGGTCACAAAAGGTAATCACACGACCCTGGGACACTGCAACAGTCCTAAATCCGAATCAGTTGCCAAGAGTCTGAATTTTGATCACGTGACCCTAGGGATATTGCAACGGTCGTGTGAAAAAAATCATAAGCCATCCGTGCCATTGTAACTTTGAAAGGTCATCAAACGGACTGTTGTAAGTTCAGTCTTGATTCTCTGATTTCTGTATATTCATATTTAAATTAATTATGCAATTGCAATCTTCATTTTCATCCATCAATGCCTTTTTATTCCCCATGCCTTTCATGAGTGGGGGGATTTCAGAGTTGAGCAGAATTATTGTCAAGCCCACATAGCTAGGAAGATAAAGGAATTAAGAATTACAGGTAGTCCTCGATTTATAACAGTTTTAGTGACCATTCAAAGTTACAATGGCACTGAAACAAGTGACTTATGACCGTTTTTCACACTTACAACCATTGCAGTATTCCTATAGTCACATGATCCAAATTCAGATGCTTGGCAACTGACTCATATATATATATGACGGTTGCAGTGTCTCAGGGGTCATGTGATCACTTTTTGCCGCCTTCTGACAAGCAAAGTCAATGGGGAAGGCAGATTCACTTAACTGTGTTACTAATTTAACAACTGCAGTGATACACTTAACAAATGTGGCAAGAAAAGTCATAAAATAAGACAACATTCACTTCACAAATGTCTCACTTAGCAACAGAAATTTTGGGCTCAATTGTGGTCGTAATTTGAGGATTACCCGTATATCAATTTCAGTCAGGTTACTTTAATGCTAGTCTAAGGTAAATGAAGAATTTTGAAAACTCTTAAGAGGAATTTGCCAATTCCCATTTATGGTGTGCAAATTAAGATATGGTCTCTTAAAATAATTTGATTTGTCCTTTGTAGGTCAGCTATCTTGATTGTTTATGTCTATTCTCTTCCATTCCTTGCAGAAGTTAGTTGATACTTCTTGTTTTAGGTTTGGTTTTTCTATATTTTAAATTTTGTTTTATTGGTTTGTAAACAAAGAAGAAAAAGGGTTTCCCGGTCTCTCACAATTGTGTACCTATTGCTGTGTGTGCAATGTTCTCCCTGCTGTTTATGACCATCACTTTCCCCTCCTTTGAGCTAATTTTGTTTTGCTCTCCCAGGCTTATTTTCCAGGTGATAGGTTCACATTAGCTTTCCACCTTACCCACCACCCTCATTTTATTGTGATGGTTTCAGCTTTGTTTTTCTTTGGGGGTTGTTATCTGGCCAGTCGAGACACTTCTTTAATGACTGATCTTCCAGAGACAATTGCTCCATTCAGTCTCTGCACTAAAGGACGGTAGTTATTATAAACCTCAGATGTGGAATATGCTTTTGACAGCTTTTGGTCTCTCCTCTTTCAATTACAATTTTATAATGCATTTAAACCCACGAATGAGATTAGGAAAAGTCTGAGAAAATAAATCTGATCTATCTCAGCTCTGCTTATGTTAAGTAAATCTGGTCTGGCAAGTTCCCACACCATTTGGCTAACTGAAAGAAGCAAACTCACATTTAATACAGAACCTTATCATCTGTACTGATTTTTGAACATACCTAGATTGCAAAATTCAGGCAACTGCACAATCACTTCTGGAGATGATTGTATTCCAGTTTATATATTAATTCAGGAAGTTATCCAAGTAGAATCAACAAAATTCTGTGCATCTGTAGATTTAAAGCATTACAGGTATTAAATGATTTAGCATACATGCTTTTCTTCCCAGCCAAAGTACTGAATAGTTTTTTCCTCTGAATTAATAATTTATTTGAAAAAATATTTTTCATTATACTCTTATTATACAGAAATATTGTACATTTATTTCAAAGCTATACCAAAGTGAAAAGTGAAAAATAAAAACGTGGAAGAAAGCAATGGCAGTAGCAAGTCACTTCTACATTATCGTAAAAAAAAAAAAAAAAAAGTGGAAGTATCCATGCCATCATCAACAGTCAAATTCAGCTGGAATGAATTTTTAACTTTCTTATGCCCCTCAGCAACTAGAAAGCCTCCCCAGTTTTTTTTTTAAAATTTTTTTTTACCCTTTTTATTCTCCTAAGAAAGATTTGAAAGGAATTTGGAAATTATCTACTCCAATCCATGCCCCATGCAGGAATCCATTGCTATAACAACTATTTCAAAGAAATTTCTTTTTTTCCTTGGTGCTAAGAAGGAACATGGAATAGAAACTCCTGTAGGGGATCAGCAGCTTTTCTGTATAAATACTGTAATGTTTCAACATCATTGTAGAGGGAAACTATGGCAATAAACCCACTGATGATCCCACTAATCAGCAGAATTGATTCTGTTAATTGAATGGATAGACCGGCTATTGTCTTACTCCCTCACTGCTCATGTATAATGATTCTGAAGTCTCATACTCAGGGCAAAAGGAGAGTCAGCCTGGATAAAAAGAATAGTCTGCCCAGATTATGCAAATTTCAAATTATTTTCATTATATAATACTGATCCAAATGCAAACCTCAGCTTAATTTGCAAACTCCTCCTATTTTACAAAACCCACCTGGCTTTATTCACATGCATTTGGCTTTATTCACATGCATTGTTGATATGTTGATATGATTAATTTTGACCAAAGTTCTGCAGACTTTGGCAGGAACATGTTTCTCTGTTATTTGTTATTTGTTCATTACATTTGAATGCTGCCCATTTCTCTACTAAGCAACACTACAGATTGTCCTTGAATTACAACAGTTCATTTAGTGATCGTTCACAGTTACAACAGCCCTGAAAAAAGTGACTTATGACCATTTTGCACATGACAGCATCCCCATGGTTATATGGTCAAAATTCAGTCACTTAGCAACTGATTCATATTTATGACAGTTGCGGTGTCCTGGGGTCATGGGATCACCTTTTGCAACCTTCTGACAAGCAAAGCCAACGGGGAAACCAGATTGACTTAACAACCAGGAAACCAGATTCGCTTTAATAACTGTAGTAATTCACTTAACAAATATGGCAAGAAAAGGCTTTTAAAAGCATTTTTTTCTGCAACCTCTTCGGCCGAAGAGGTTGTAGGTAAAAAAATGCCTTTAAAAGCCTCTGGCAATCCCAGCTGAGTTGCCTGATCGTCAGAGGCTTTTAAAAGCATTTTTTTCTGCAACCTCTTAAGGTTGTAGAAAAAATGCTTTTAAAAGTTACAAAAAAAAGTTGTCCACGCCCACCCAGTCACATTACCCCCCACCAAGCCACACCCACAAAATAAGTCACACCCACAGAACCAATAGTAAAAAATTTTTAGAACCCATCCCTGATAGAGAACTACGAGTATTGGTGTCCAAATCATAAGGAAATTCTGATTTACATACATGTACAATGCTACTGTTATCTCATTCACGTATCTTTTATGCCTCTGTTATCACAGTGCTTGACCCTTGATAAGTTTGAAGGCCTAGCTGATGAAACTGAGTTGATTCTTCATGCTCACTCTCTTCTGGAGGAAAATAAATTCTGGGCTGCTGTTGTCTTTCTTGACGTGGATGCAAGGGCCAATCAAATACCACCTCATGTGAAATACAAGATACGCATGGATATTGATGCTGTGGAGAAAACAAACAAAATCAAAGATAGGTAAGGACGTTTTCTAATCTTTAGGCATGCAAGCAGAGCCAATTGAGATACCAGTGACTGGAGAGACAAAATAAATCAGAATTGCCAAGAAAAGCTCTCCCCAACAGGATATCCTGCATATCTGTTGGATGTCCCCAGTCATCAAAGGGGTCTAATGAGAATTGCAATTTATCATATTTACAGGAAAGAAGGCTGGTAAACGTATGGATGACTGTTATATATATAATAATTAACTACAGGCCAAAGTGTAACTTTTAGGTATCTCAAACAGTGGTATGCTGGTAAATATAAAACGTTATCATGAGTGTATATACAACTACCCATAAAGAGAGAATGAGAAAGCACACATACCATGACAAAGCATAATGCCTTTTTATTAGAACTAACACACATTCTTTCAACCGTATGCAGGGAAGTTACTTGGGAATGAATTTACCTGAACTCTCAATGCTTCCATCTGACTTTTAAACAACTTAGCTTTAAAGTTCTGGAGCATATAAATAGACATTGCAAATTGCTTCGATGAAAGTTTAGCACAGGATATATTTATAGCCTTTAAATTGCCACAAGATTCCTCCTTTGTTCCAATAAAAGCTGATCCGATGATTTTACCTGTGAGATTTGATTTATGGCAGCACCTTCACTTGTCAGAACACTGACTTATTCTGCAATTATGAAGTGATAAAATAAAACTGCATCTAACCATTGCTTCTAAACTCTTTCAGTCCATAAAGTCTAATCGGACTGAGTCAAAGATGATAGCACTTGGCTATTTTTGTCAAAAGCTAAGCAGGGTGAGATCTGGTAAAGATTCTGATGGGAGGCCATTGGGAAATCCCTAGATGGTTGACAAAACTGGAAAGTTGAAAAAAACATTCAACCTAGAAAAAGTGGATTACAACACCATTAATCTGACAGCTTTTCCTTATGTGCATGTTTTTTTCTATCACAGGCAACCAATGTGAAGACCCCATTTGGATCTGGTCTTTAAACCAATTCTTCCTGTCAGCTTTGGAAGCCATATTAACCCCGGAAGCTTCCATGCTGTCACCTTCTTGTGCTTGGGAAAGAAGAAGGGGGGGGGGTTTAGTAGAGAGATTTTAGGTAGACATAATAGCATTCTTCTTTTTGGTCAAGGTCATGGTGTTCCTACATCTGGAGGAGGAATGGTTGCAGTGGTGACTCAAGTTGGGATGGATGGTGATTGGGCCATGTGATGGACTGATAGGTGTAGGGGCTGGATTTGGGGTTTTGATTTACCCAGAACTCTCAGATTCAGGTTTTCCCAGATGTGCCAGTATACCTATTCCAATAAATGAAAGGTTTGAGATGAAGCTTGTCTCGGAGTTTTTAATTGGAGTTGGGTTGTTCTGGAATGCTGACATTTCCCTTGGCTCAGTCTCTGTTCTAACAGGAAACCTAGGATATCAGTTAAGATGATCAGAAAGCTTTTTCATGCCTGTCTCTTGTCCTGCAAACATAGTGTGCAAAGAATTTAATCCAGGCTAGGATTGCAGCCGAAACAAATGGTTAAAATTTCTTGGTTCTCCCACAGTATCACAACCAGGATTGGGGCCCCTCTTGGCTTTTGTGAAAGGAAGAAAAGATACTGCAGCTTAACATAGTTTATAGTTTGTTCCTCAGATTCTGATAACTGACACTTTTCCCCCTGTCATAATCTCCACTAGTCTAAAGGTTAAATCTGTGCTTTGTCCCTACAGGTACTGGGATCCTGGCCCAAGAGCTGACCCAGTGGATGATCTGCGCTACATCTGGGGAGGGTTTGCTTATCTGCAAGATATGATCGAGCAAGGGATCATCAAAACCCAGACCCGTATTGATGTGCCTTCAGGGATATACCTACAACAAATGCCCTATCCCTGCTTTGTAGATGATGTGTGAGTGTGATCTGTGTCCAATAACTAACTGTGTGGCTAGCCAGATGGCACTTTGAGTCTCACAAATGACACTGTTTTTGCTTTTGATCATGCTAGAGATTCTAGAACATGAAGTATTGGACAAATTTCCCTGCCAAGGGATCTGAATTGTGTTAGTTAAATCCGAGATTTAACTAACTAAGAAATCTAGAACAAATAATTGTTATCGTAACAATCTCTCTACCTACTTAAAATAGAAAACAATAGGAATACCACCTTTATTGCAAAAAAATAAATATTAATTCATTAGCAACCTAAAATGGAGGAAAAGTTGCAAACTTATAGCTGTTTTTCTGAACTCTTTTAATCAGGGAAAGTATTCATTTCATTTTCAAAAATGAAAAAAGAATACAGGTGTGCTGAAAGGCTTGTCACTCTCTGCCACAACATTAGAATGCGGATCATTCAATGATGTTGAATGATGCAAGGTTCAGGTCAGGCTAGAACAAACAAACAAAGAAGTTGTTTTTCATACAATGCATACTTATGCCATGATGGTAGTGATCTACCATCACTATTTTAATAAAAGTGGATAATTTTTCAGTACCGATTCTCTGGACATGAGCAGGTTAATATTTTTAATATAAAGTCCATTTATCTATCTTCAGAGAAATAATAGAAATAATCATCACCACCACCAGTCAGTTGCAAAAGGAAGCTTTACTTGGAAGAGCTTACATCATGTAATGAGACCTTTAAGGGCTCCATAGGTGAATAAAAATGCCAAATCCAGTCTCAACAACTGGTTGACTGTGCAATGAACCATAAAAATAAGATTTTTATCCCTCCTCAATGCAAGGTGGCAAACCTATCTAATACCATTGCCTGCTATTTTCCCCGCACCAACAACCCTGTGAAATGGGTTGGGCTGGAGAGTGTGAATGAAAGTTATCCAGACATTTTCATGTCTAAGGGAGGCCTAGAACTCACTATCTCTAGTTTCTAGCCAACACCTTCACCACTACACCAAACTGACTCTCTAATTAAAAGGTTACCAAAGACCATTATTAAAATACTGATCTCTTCCAGCACACTCTTATTATCTTGTTAAAAACTTGTGCTCTAAACCAACCAATCCTTTACTCTATTTCTGGCTAACATTTGGGATATGATGAAATATTTAATTTGCTCAAGGCTTTTCTCTACATCCCAATGTAGTTCAATGCAGTACATGGGGCTTTACAAATCCCCTTTGCAAACCAGTGAGGCAGAGTCTGATACTTTCCATTTTTGGCCAGCATATTTCAACACAGGAAATAAGGCAGCCCTGCCCAATCTCATGCTCTCAGAATGTGTAGAAATGAGGGAATTGCCATTGAGTTTGGTTAATAGCTGACAGGCTATATACTGTAGTTCTACCACATCTGGGGCAACAAAACTAAGGTATTAAAGACAGGGGTGGGCTTCAAAAATTTTAGCAACGGGTTCTCTGCCCAGTTGCTGGGTGGGCGTGGCCATGGTGGGCGTAGCCTAGTTGGCCTTCTGCACCATGGTGGGGGGGGGTGTTTTTGCCCTCCCTGGGCTCCGGAGGCTTTCCTCAAGCCTCCGGGAGGGTGAAAAGGGCCTCCCCAGAATCTGGAGGCCCTCTGGAGGCCAGAAACAGCCCGTTTTTCACCCTCCCTGAGCCTCTGCACACACCCTGCACTTACCTGCATCCAAAACGGGCTGCGTGCGGACTCCTGGGAGGGGAGGGGCGGAGGAGGGGCCAGTCAGGAGTAGGATTTGGGGGTTCTCTGAACTGCACAGAATCTTAGCTAGAGGTTCTCCAGAACCCCTGTGAATCCCCACCAGTCCACCCTGGTTAAAGAGTGAAACCAAGGAAATAGGAATTTAAATCTCCCCTCAGAGACCTTTGGTCTCTGTGAAAATACAGGATGGCTTTATTTCGCCCTGTATTTATTTTTTCTTGTACTGTATTATATTGAATGTTATCCTGAAGAATGCTGCTCTAAAGTATCGAGAAATACAAAAAAATAAATAATGTGAACTGGGGTCTTACAAAATTTGCAGTGTTGCATTCTATGGCTTCTTCAAATTTACAAACAATAAGCAGGCCTGAGAGTGGAATTTTATCAGGTTCAAGGAGTAAAACTCAGGCAGAGGTCTGGTTCTCTCTCCCAAGGCATCACATTCCTTTGATTTGTCATCAATCATCATCCTCAGGTCACTTCTCTACATACCAAGAAGAGATCTCAAAGTTGTTTTAATTGGTTTTGCTCCATGCTAATAATACCAAAATTCTTATATGAAAATTAGAAATATGTAGCAAAAGCTTCACAGGGGAGAAGTGCTTAAGGCAATGAATTAGGACTGGGAAACTCAGGAATCCATCCCTAGCCATGGAAATTCACTGGATAACCTGGGACTAACCTACTTCACAGGGTTTCTGTTGTAAATTCTCATGTTAAGACCCTCATATAGTTCAAAGTATACTATGGTAGTATAATTGGAGCTGTAGCTATAATAACTGAACACAACTTGACTTTTTGCTATGCTGAAAAATCCCCCTCATTCCATAGTTAGACCCAATATAAAACAGTTTTAATATAAAGATGAGGAAAAGGAGGGTTCTAGATGCTATTCTTAAAAGTTGACTTACCAGCTTGGTGAAAAGAAATCTTCAGGTTGTCCTTCCTCTTCCCTTCCAGATTGGGATTACGGTTCCCAAAATTCCAGCCAGAATAGGAAGACACATGTTAGAGAAAGCTGCATGATCGGGCAAGACCTATTTTCACATGTGACATATTTCCCAATTATTTTGGAATAAGGTTTTATACACTGATTAAGACCTTGATGTGAAAGCCTGTTTTGTTTTGATTCATGAGACACATCTATTGGCAATTTCATGGTTTGACAAGACCTTTCTTCTCTTTATGAAACTTGGCTTCACGTTATTTAAAAGGCATTTCTGAAGCAATAACCCTAACTCCATTCCCAGGAATCTCTCTGGAAAGAAGCCCCACTAAGCTCACTGGGATTTGCTCAGTGGAGTCCAGATACAGCTGTAGAAACAGTTCCAGAACAAATGTCACCAGAGCACCATTTTGTTGCAAAATAAATTCCTTCTCTGCCAGGAATTACATGACTTTGGTTTATTTTCCAGAATACCCCATTTCTTAGTGATCCGACTTAACAGCTAAGGTGTTCCCTTTGTCTCTGCTTAATGCTATCCTGCTATGATCTTATCTTTAACTCTGAATACAATGCTGCCCCACAGCTTCCTCCCAGGATAGCCTAAAATAGAGATAATCCAATAAACACATGATGTGATTTATTTTTGTGTGTCTTCAATTGCTACCCCTCCATATGGTGAATTGATTATATCAGCATGGAGGCCTGGTGGCCAAGCAGGAGACAGAAAGTGATTGTATCCTTTGAAAAAAGCATAGGACTCTGACAGTAAGGCCTGGTCAGGTCACAGAATCAGAACATTAATGAAAGTAATGGAAAACATGTTCCTTAGGAGTTCCATAACAGTGACATTGTTTTTGCAAAAGGCACTTTTTTTTCAATTGCAAGGGGTGGCTCTTTCGGCCTTGCTCAAAAAATGAAACCTCCCTCAAACCAAGCTCAATTTTTGGGATTATTGGGATATGTCCATGATGATGTTTCCTTTCAACAATACAAGTGGCTTGGTATTTTCTGTTATTCATGATTTCTTTTTTAGTCTAACATGCAGCTAAGATGTTCTGGTGCGGTATTTTGCAAACTTGGCCGTTTTAAGATATCTAACTGAGGAGTCTCACACCTCTTTCCAAGTTTGAGAAACACAATTCTCGTGGCCTTTCACCCGTTCAGATTGCTTTCTCCTGTGTCAGCCTCTTTAAGAGTTTAAAATTGGCTCCCCCAAATGTTTGCCTGAGCTATTCAAATCCCTACTGCTCCTAAAATTTGCAATACTTTTGTTGCCTCTGCTAAAGAAGAAATCTTTTAAAAGAAAAATGGCTAGAAATGGATGCAGCACAGAATAGAATAGAATAGAATAGAACAGAATAGAATAGAAAACAGAATTTTTTTTATTGGCCAAGTGTGATTGGAAACACAAGGAATTTGTCTGCATGCATCCAAACACACAGCCCCTTTGTTCAGGAGCCCCTACTGCCATTTCCCCATACTGACTTGGAATTCTGGAATTTATGGTCCAACATATCTGGACAGAAACTACCTGAGGAAGGCTTTGATAATGTTTGCTACTTTTTTTTTTTTTTGCTTTTAATTTATATGTTACCCTTCTCCGGAGACTCAGGGCGGCTTACAATGAGTTAAGCAATAGCCTTCATACTTTTGTATATTTATACAAAGTCAGCTTATTGCCCCCACAATCTGGGTCCTCATTTTATCTACCTTTGAAAGGATGAAAGGCTGAGTCAACCTTGAGTCTGGTGAGATTTGAACTTGCAGTAATTGCAAGCAGCAGATGTTAATAACAGTGCTTTAGTCCACTGTACTACAGGCTCTTTTCTTAGATGTTCCTATTAGGAAATAGCAATTTAATTCTCCAGAGAATTCAGGGGTGCCTTCTTTAGCCAGGACTCTCACCAGTTTTCTTTTGAGCCATTTCCCAGTTGTTCTCAAACTACCAATCTGAGCCTTCCAGGAGGAGGATACTAGTGAGGTATTTCTCTGCTACTTTTCAAAGCAAGGTTGTTTCTTTTCCTTTTTTTCCCCTCCTTGCCTGGCAGCTTCATGATTACTTTGACTCGTGCCTTTCCCGTCTTAATGGTGCTGGCTTGGATCTACTCCGCTTCCATGACCGTGAAAAGCATCGTGTTGGAGAAAGAAATGAGACTGAAGGAGGCCTTGAAGAACAGAGGAGTCACCAACGGGGTGATTTGGTTCACGTGGTTTTTGGACAGCTTCCTCATGATGACCGTGAGCACGTTTCTCCTGACGGCTCTCATTACGGTAAGGGAGGAGGAGAGGCGCGGCTTTTGCTGTTGTTAAACGCGAGCGCCAGCGTTTACAATGCTTTATTTTCGCGCGATCCAGGTGTTAGTAAGAAACAATAAAAGCCATACATAAAAATGGGAGGGAGCCTGCTAGTAGCCTGGCCTCTTCTCGGCACGTAGCAGCAGGCGCGCTTTTTAGAAGCCCCCTTAAGGCATCATCATCATCATCATCATCACTTGGCAGGGACAGATACATTCAGGGTCGCGTTTGCCTTTGTGACGTTTGGAGTCGGATTAAGGCTGACAGGTCACGTTCTAAACATCGCCTTCAGGTGGAAGAGGGCTTGAAAGGGAGGCGTGGCGTCCCTCCTCCATCCACCTTTGAAAAACCTGATGGCCATCCTGTCGTTTCCCTTTCAAACTCCTTTCTCCCAACCCATTAGTTGCTTCGTTTCAATACATGATCCCTTGGGGAACTGAGAGGGACACAAAAGCTTATCATTTAAATCAGTGTTTCTCAACCTTGGAAGCTTGAAGATGGGTGGACTTCAATTCCCAGAATCCCACAGCCAGCAGCGCTGGCTGGGGGATTCTGGGAGTTGAAGTCCATCCATCTTCAAGCTTCCAAGGTTGAGAAACACTGATTTAAATAGTCCTTCAGTAGGGAGACTCTGGGTTTATGTTTAAACTGCCCCATTTGCGACAGAATGATGCCTCAAGATATAGTCGTTTGTTAGTTTATTTAAGGGGTTAATGGGAGTTGTGGACTGTAGTCTCAACACCTCTGAGGGATATCAGATTGGAGTTACCCTAAATTCTTGCATTGTTTTTTTCTGCTTCCTCATATCATTTATGGTAAGTACCTAAAGTTCCATGGGTTGCTTGAGATTTGCCCACTTTGAAGATAAGGATAAAATGAACCCTGAAGGCCTGACTCTTTAAATACTCCTAAACTAGAACAAATATATTTAAACACTGTTGTGGAAGAGGGCCAGTAAGAATATCTTTGCTGTTTAATTTCTTTGTATTAGTACTTGAATTAAAGTGCAATAAGTGTTCCCACTCCATGTATAGTATGCTGGTTTTGAATGTATGTTTGATGTCAGTGTAGTATAGAGCAGGGGTCTCCAACCTTGGTAACTTTAAGCCTGGGGGAAAGATGGCTGGGGAATTCTGGGAGTTGAAGTCCGCCAGGCTTAAAGTTGCCAAGGTTGGAGACCTCTGGTATAGAGTGATTTTTTGACATCCTGCTTTTCAGTAGGGGCAGAAGGAGGAACAGCAATCAGAATCTGTTCTGATTTTTCAATATGTTTGGATTTTAAACCATTCACTTCCAGGTAGACAATCCCCATTTGAATTTGTAATTAATATTGTAATATTACAGAGATTAAGACAAGTAAAGCTGCATTTCAAATATGTGTGAATAAGAGGAAGCAGTAGCAAAACTTAGGACCAATAGCTTCACGCATCATGCTAAGCCATCACAGTGGCTAAATTCGAAATATCAGCTGAGCCAAAACCCAGCAAGTCACACTCCTCCTTGTTCATGAATGAATCAATAAAATCCAAAGTTGCAGAAAATAATAAAACAAAAACATTTCGTACAAAATCTATAAAGAACATTTGTGCCCAGATCAAATTACAATGATAAAAGGTCTAGATGTTACAAATATGTATTTATTTATAGTAGTTCTTTACCAGGCCTGTCAAACTGGCGGCCCATGGGCCGAATGCGACATGCACAGACCACGCCCAACCCAGCTTTGCAAAGGCAAAAAGCGCCATGATACGTCACGTGACGCGATCGAGTTTGACACCATCAGTACCATCAACTCCTTCAAGGATTTCTGATAACTTGGAAAAAATCTCAACCAAAAAGATAAAACCTGTGAAGCATAAAACATAAGCACGCCCAAACCTGACATTCAATAAGCAGTCCTCAAAACGTAAAAGCTGTGAATAACTCATGCTTAACCACCATCCAGAAAACTGTTAGGAAGGGTGCCATTCACATTCTCAGAGGTGTAAGCTGTGTTACACAATTCAGACATAAATAAGACCTGATGCTGTAGACCTCCCCTAGCCTGATTGAACTAGACAGGTCTTTTTTAAAAAAAAAAAATCTAAAGAAAGCTTGTCTTGAAGATTCCTGGAACACCAGGTGAGAAAGGGTTTTATAGGTTAAAACCAGCACTTTTATAGTCAGAAGTCAAATGAA